GTTAGTACTCCATCACAGAGAATATTCAGAAAGGTCACAGTTCTTGCCACCAAGGAGTTCCCAACACAATGGGCATGTAATAGCTAACCACTTACACAGAACTTTACTATATGCTAAGCACCATTCTGTGTACTCTACATATATTAACTCAGTTAACCCTCACAGCAACAATCCAATAAGGTCATATCCTTTATTCCCACTTCACATAGAGAAATCAGAGGTTACAAAAGCATAAATCAGGATTTGAACCCAGATGATCTGGCTGCAGAGTTTGTGTTCTTACATATTTTAGTGCCGGTGGTAGTCATACAAAGTGCTAGACAGATGATCTGTGAAATTTACAAAAGGGATTCTAGTATTGGACAGAAGGTTACATACAGCTTTTAAGTCATTTACATTTGTCACATAGCTAATTATTGGACCCTAACCTTCCTGTTCTTGGTCTGTTCTTTTTCCATTCAGACATTGGGAAACTGCCTCGATCCTCCCCCTAAATGTTTTTTTCTACAATTATTCATACATTGTGTTCTTTTTAAAGAACAAGCTTTAAATTTGTGTAATTGCTACCTGCAGGGTGTTGCAGGCAACAAGGACCTTTCACACAGGGCAGCCAAGTCTTGCCCCTGTGCCACCTCTTCCTGAATATGGAGGGAAAGTTCGTTTTGGGCTGATCCCTGAGGAATTCTTCCAGTTCCTTTATCCTAAAACTGGTGTAACAGGTGAGCATTTGCCCAGTGTTGATAGTATGTTTGGATGGTATGGTTTATGTTAACTTAGTGGCCTCTTACCTCTTCCACATATACCAGAAAAATCAAGTCAGCTGTTTTTAAAAGTAAAGTGTGGAAGTGATTCAATATAACAATTGATTTGGTTGCTTTAACTTGTCTTTGGAATAAATTTGTTTGGGATTTTAACTTGAATTTATACTGTTGTCTCCGTTTGTTGATAGACTAAATTTACTGAATGCCTGCTCTATGCCAGGCACTATTCTAGGCATGTAGTGGTGATCTAAAGTGCCTGGCATCATGGAGCTTACCTTCTATTCTAGGATAGACAATAAAGAAGTAAGTGTATAATACACTTTCAGGTAATGATGGAAAGAGCTATGGATTAAAATAAAGCCAGGTAAGGCAGTAGAGAATATTAAATTGTATATATAATTATGAGAAAAAGAATTCGACCATATTTATCAGTTTTTTTTCCTTTTAAAAAGGCATAACCTGTTTCGAAACCTTTCATTTTTATAATGCAGTGTGCATTCGCTTATGTTGTTTAATCCATAAAACAGTCTATGAAGATATTTTTATTACCTAGAAGAACTAGAAAACAAAGAATTGGCTGAGGTTAATCCTCTCTTTAATGACAATTGGACTTGAACCCAGGTTCTCCAATTAAGTTTAGTGTTCTTTCTACTACACACCCCTGCCTTTCTTGCTATACCCAAATACTGCTATGACCATGGAACATTAGAAACCAAAATTTTTCTTTTGTTTTTGTTTTTGTTTTTTTAACTCTCCAGGGCGTGACCTAAAACAGCATTTCCCTAACTGAAACTGCAAGCAACATTAGTGTCCTCAGATCTCCATAGGTGATAAAAATGTTACATATGATAGATAGGTCTTTTTTGCAAATTCACATTTAAAATTTATACATTGAAGGCAGATTTTTTTTTTTAAGTGAGCTGTTGAAACTTTGTATGGGAAACTCTGGGTAAAATATATTTGAGACTGTAACCCTTTTATTCTCATAATACAGCCTAACATCCTTTGGTATCAGTATTGCTCAGAAACATAAACTGCTGACCTAAAGGCCTGCTTTGACCCTGCCTAGCATCTTGTGAGCCACAGAGGAAAATTCTAAAGAAATGTACATCATGGTTTGTGTCCTTTCAGAATTTATGGCCTGGTTAAAGAAAAAGATAGCTCTATTTGAAGCATTGTGATAAGATGCTGCAGAAATTGAGAATCTTGTTATTTAGTTCTTTATGTACATACCATTTGATTGTCGTATTTGTTTTGTTTGCCAGTGTCAGGTTTCTATTCAGTGAAAGCAGGCAAGAGTGGATAAATTTTCCCTGACCGACGTTCTCATTCAATAAGTAGTATGTTTTGTTGCACAAATCACTTTTTAAAGTAGCCTGACATCTTTGTAAAATACTTCCTGTTAAGCAGTTGTTCTAGACATTTTATATACATTATTTTTTAATTTCATTAACCCTATAAAGGAGATACTGTTTCCCATTTTATAGATGAGGAAAGTAAGCTGGGAGAGCATCTGTATTGCTCAGTGTCTTGTAAGTTGCAGAGTCAGATTTCCGTGAGTCCAGATCCTTGTTCTTTCACCTCTACCATGCTGCCTCTCATCCAGTGTTCTGTCTTTGAATCTGATTATTTAAAATCATTATTAACTTTGCCTTCAAAGTTACTTCAGAGTGTCTCTCCATCTTCCCCTTTTAGACATAGCATATCGATCATAAACTAACTTTTCTTTCTTTTAGGACCCTATGTGCTTGGAACTGGGCTTATCTTATATTTCCTGTCCAAAGAAATATATGTGATAACTCCAGAGACCTTCTCTGCCTTATCAACAATAGGGGTGCTTGTCTATGTAGTTAAAAAATATGGTGCCTCTATTGGAAAATTTGCTGATAAACTCAATGAGGTAAGAACCATAAACCTTATACCCCTATTTTAGACTATAGTAGAAGTGTCAAAGCCATCAAGTGATGCTTTTGATAGGAATGTTAGGGGCAGGACATGTGGAAATGAAGCTACCTATAATGATCACAATTATTAGTGTTAATGTTAATTAACTAATTTGAGATAAATTTTTAAAAATCTACCAGACTCTCCGGCTTTTCCATAGTTTTGTTCATTCAACAAGATATTGCATAGATATTATGGGCAACTCATTAAGGATTTGTGCAGTTCTCCATATGGGTGGGTGTATTCACAAATGAGGGCTATAACTTTGAGGAAGCATAAAATGAATCTGTTTTTATTATCCTTGGTGCTTTCACTGATCTTTGTTGTAAATGTCATAATTGCAGGAAAAAATTGCCCAACTAGAAGAGGTGAAACAGGCTTCCATCCAAAGCATTCAGGATGCGATTAATATGGAGAAGTCGCAGCAGGCACTGGTTCAGAAACGCCATTACCTTTTTGATGTCCAGAGGGTAGGTTTCAGAACTTTCTAAGGGTATGAAGTTACTCGTTTGTGTGCATTTAAAAATTTAGAATCCTATAGGGAATAGTTGAATAGAATGAGCATATTTTATTTAAGAAAGAGATTTGGGTGGGTTGGCAATTACAGCAATTTAGACATTTAAGACCTGTCAATAATTAGAATAATTACTCTAAAACTAGGAAGGGTAGAAGTTGTAAAAAGAACACATTGTGGATCCACACAAAAGGAAAACAGTCATTAAGTTATATTTGATTACAGGGAACTGTATTCAATTTCTTGTAATAACATAATGGAAAAGAATCTGAAAAGAAATATGTGTGTGTATATGTATGTATATGTGTGTGTGTATAGGCATAACTGAATCGCTTTGCTTTACACCTGAAACTAACATTGTAAATCAATTACACTTGAGTAAAAAAATTTTTTAAAAGTTATAACTGATTTTAAAAATGGTATTCACTGTGAAATACATAGGTAAAATACATGCTGTGATTTCATGCATGCTTGCTATAAGAAAATCTGACACCTTACACTCCAAATTCACAAAGCAGATTCACATGGCAATAGAGCTTTTTTACCATGGTCAAAGCATGATTAGATTCTAAAATATTTAGTTTCTAAAACAACTTTAGGAACATGTTCAAGTATAGTTGTTACTTTGAGCCCAGTAATTTATGCCTATTTAGAGTGAGATGCCCTTATTTTGAAATTTTGTGTTGTAGAAGCACCTATGAAATGGGAAATGAGATGCTAATGTAAAGTAAGTATCTGAAATTCTAAGGGTGTGGGCCAGCGTTTCCTAGTGTAGTCTCAGTAACATATGCATCAGGCTTCTTTGGTGCAGGTTTTTGACCCATTCCAAGATCTGTGGAATTAGAACCTCTATTAGGAGCTACCAAAAATCTGTGTTTTTTAAAGCAGGACTACTGAAGATTCTTAAGCACATAAATGTTTTAAATCCTCAGAAAATTTTAAAACATCTCTCCAAGCATACTAAAGTTACAACTGGAGAATGCTTCTTGCCTAATAGGTAATATGTATGGGCAAACAAAATCCTATTTCTGAAGATGTAGCTTTTTTATAAGAATCAAATGATAGTCATTAAAATTTTTATTTATGAAATACTTATTTAATAGATGTGTTTTGAGTTCTTTCTGTTTGGAGACTCTGGTCAAGACAGGGTGGTGGGAATATAGCAGAGAACAAAACAAAAGTCTGCCTTCATGGGGTCTACTCTTCTACCCAGAGACTGAGAGAAGAACAAAAAAAAAAAAAAAGCAGACGTGCATGTCATCTGGTGTGAAGTACATAGAGTCTAGTGAGCTTGTGTTTAAGGAAAGGAGATTTTAGAAGGAAGGAGTTACTGTTTTTATTGGGCAGTCTAGAAAGGCCTCTAGTGTGATACCTGGACAGAGACCTGAAGCAGTGATGGTGCAGGCTGTGCGGGTTTCTGAGGAAGCAGGATTCCAGGCAGAGGGAAGAATAACTGCAAGGGCCCTAATCCTGGAAGCTTGCTTGGTGTAGACAAGGGAAAGTAAGGAGCCAGTGTAGCTCACGTGGAGTGGGTGAGAAGGAGAGTAAGAGGAAGCACAGGGACTTTAAATAGCATGGTACACTGTGTGAGTAGGAAGTCAGATTAAATATGAAAACGAATGTATGTATGTGTATGCGTGACTGGGGCATTGTGCTGTACACCAGAGATCGACACATTGTAACCGCCTGTACTTCAATTTAAAAAGAGAAAGAAAAAAGTCAGGTTGGCACAACAGATGAGAGGGTCTAGAGATAGACCTAAAAACAAGGCAATTTAGATAGGTGGCCTTTTCAGCTTAGCAGTGGAAGGCCAAACAGGTATCTTTGCAGATGTAGAGTTCTTTTCCTATTTTTTGCCTTATACCAATACAAACTTCAGGTGAATTAAAGATCTTTAAATAAGAAATAACAACCATAAAAGTAGAAAAAGAACATGAAGAATAATACAGAACACATAGAGTGACAAGGTCTTTCCAGTAGACAACAAAATCCAGAAACTTATATGGTGACGGATGTTAACTAGACTTATTGTGGTGATCATTTCCTAGTATATACAAATACTGAATCATTATGTTGTATACCTGAAAATAGAATATTGTATGTCAGTTATACTTTAGTTTTTAAAAAATTCAGGAACTGTAAGAGGAAAAATTGTTAAGTTGATCTCATAAAAAATTTTGAACTTTACATGTAGAAATTACCATAAACAAGTTAAGTGACAAAGTTAAGTGACAGCCAAGGAAGGATACATGCATTACATGTGACACAAAAGGGTAGTTACCTTAGGATAGACCAACATCCCAGTAGAAAACTAGGCATAGGATAATGAACAATTTATAAAGATATAAGTAAGTTTAAATGGCTTTTAATATGTAAATTTTCTCCTTAAAGACAATTAAAATTGGTATTTTTTTCTGCTTATCAGACTAGCAGAGAGTAAAAATTTTATAAACATGATTGGTCAGGGTTTGGAGTAACAAGCATTTGTGTTGCTGGTGAGAGAATGAAGTGGTACAACTTTTCTGTGGAATTGACAGTGTTGATCACAATTTAAAATGGCTCTTTAAGACCGTGGGCTTTGTAACCTGACTCCTTGTATTCAGGTCTTGGCTTCAGGGTTTATTGACTCTGTACCCTTGGAAAATCCCATACCTTCTGCCTCAGTTTCCTCACTGTAAAATGGATACAATAATAGTGACTATCCCATGGTGTGATTTTAAGACTTAATTGAAGTGACGCACAGTGTGTAGAATGTAGTAGGTACTCAACAGGTATTAGCTGTTATTTGACCCAGCAAGTAGTCACACTTGAGTGCAAAGACATACAGTGTATGCAGCAGCATTACTTGTAGTTGAAAGAAGTGGAAGCAACTTAATCTATTAATAGAGCTTAGTTAAATAAATTATGGGTTATGGGACACCAAAATAGTAGAATCCAATTTAACTTTTAAAACTGAGGTGGGTCTACTTATCATAATTAGTAAAAGTGATGTTTTTCTGTGTATATATACATTTTTTTGTTTATTAAATATTTCTGGGAGGGAATATAAGAAATATAGGAAGATGGTAGCTTATGGGGACTGAAAGAGACTTATTTTTTCTGTGTATACTTTTAAGTATATTTTTACTACATGCTGTTAGGATTTTTTTACCACACGTGTGTGTTACCTATTCATATTAAATGAATTTTGCACAAAATACAAAAAAGCGATGGGTATTCTAACTGGCAGAATCCTCAGAATGGAAGTGATCCTTTACCTGTACAGTTTTCATCATTTCTGAATTTTGCTTCAGAATAACATTGCAATGGCTTTGGAGCTTACTTACCGGGAACGGCTGCATAGAGTATACAGGGAGGTAAAGAATCGCCTGGACTATCACATCGCTGTGCAGAATATGTTGCGTCAAAAGGAACAAGAGCACATGATAAACTGGGTGGAGAAGCGCGTGGTACAGAGCATCTCTGCACAGCAGGTACGTGGTGTTTGGAAGCTTCTGGAATTGTACTGAGATCTCTGACAGGATAGGGGTGGCTGGCAAGGAGTCTTTAGCCTAGAGACTCTGGGGTCACCCTGGTTCATTTTTCCGGGTAGTGGGCACCTAGAAGGTGCTGCACAACTGCCGTGGTGAGTTTCCTCCTTCCTCGGGGTCTGGTTACCAAAGGGTCTCTCTCCTCATCGGTCAAAAAGAGTGGAAAGATTATTGAGAACACCGGTTGTGGCAGACGTGTGTTCAAGTTCCATCATTTGGGAAACATTAACCAGCATGTTTCATTTCTCTGTGAAACAGAGACTGGACATGTCTATTTCTGAGCCGGTTCTGTCTTCTAATTCCATGATTTCCGTTCTCTTTCCTCTCCCCAGCTGCTTAGTTCATTGGTCTTAAACAGAAATGTTTTCTATTATTTACCTAAATTTGATTTCCTTTTTAAAATTTATGTCCTTTATTTATTTACTTATGACTTAATTTCTTCTCTCTCAGATATGTAGTATGCTTAAGCATTTCTGATCACTTTTCACATGGCCGTGCAGGACCACGTTATGTTTGTTAGGCTGGTCTTTTTCCAGCAACTCTTAGCTATAAAAGCTAGCTAGCAGCAGTGGCGCGTGTTTACAGGAGTATCTGGCCTCAACCTCTAGGCAGGTTTCACTCATAAAAGCTATGAGCCAGAAAACTTTAACTAATTTCCTGAATTTGTTTAAAATAGATTGCATCTCCCCTGTGTTAAATAATTCGATGATTTTTAGTAGTCTGTCATATTAAGCCTGTAATCCATTTTGAGATTCTGTGGGAACATCAACTTCTTATAGGAAGTACCCTTTAGAATTAAAGTATTTATACCCTTCCATGATTTGAAAAGGTCTAACCAGCTTTCTCTTTCCTTATCACAGGAAAAGGAGACAATTGCCAAGTGCATTGCAGATCTAAAGGTCCTTGCAAAGAAGGCTCAAGCACAGCCGGTTTTGTAAATGTGTCTATCACAATTGAGACAGCTAGAAATAATTGACTAAATGGAAACTAGTCTGTGTGACAGAATCCTTCTGTATTGCTGTCTACTGAAGTTACAATTTACCTTTCCTAAAAATGAAAGGTTTGAGTTTCATATAACAAGAGAATTAAAACAATCTATTGGCCAGTAATATGTTTCTCTTATCCTTCTTGCTCTGCATTTTGAGTTATTCCATGATTACTTTTGAATAAGCAATTTACTTTTAATAAGAATTTGATTAAATTGGACTGAATATTATTCATAAAGTTATAATTTAAGTTTCTAATTAATTCAACCATCTTGCAATAAAGTGACCATTGAAACAAGGTTTTTCAATTGCGTAATTTTCTGAAATATTTCAGTATTTATGGGTAAAAATTAAAGACGTTATTGAACTGATAATCATGTTTATAAGACTGTTAGTGATAAGCTATTTCTGGCTGATATGGGAAATTTAAAGCTTTCTAGTATTCTTTAGTATGTTTTAAATAACTAAAGGAAATCTTATATATCAAGTTATATCATTGACTTTATTTTTATTTTAGTAATATGTCTATGGAAAATATGATGGACTCAATGTGTCATAAAATCACTCTTAAGAATCCAGCAGATAAATCAGAAAATTGTACTCTTTCATAGGTTTGTCTGCATGTAATTTTCTCAGTTTTGCATACTTGTATAAGGATTTACTTGTACACATATGGACTTAACTTAAATAGGAAATATTTGAAAATATGTACC